TAAGTTAAAAAATTAATGTTGATTGTTCCTGATATCGATTATGCTTTCTCGATAATAATCTATTTGCATTTAAACCTAAAAATAGCAATTTGATGTATGTGTATGAGATGAATATTGTATAAATAATAAATCAAGGTAATGATTCTTATTCTGCAATTAATAACTAAAATATAATTAAAATAATTACATAAGCATTCTTAGATCTGAGTGTATCTTCTATTTATACACTTGATAAATGATAATTATATTGAAATACCAAACATCATCCGGAGTAAATTATAATAAGGTGTTTTAATATGAAATGATGAATTCTTCAATTCTCAAGGTGTTGATTTAAGATCATTATTAAAATCAAAAGCGGGTTATTTTTTGGATAAATTAATTTGAATATCAATAGAATGGATTATTAATCATTAAAATTCTAATTTAATTCAAATATATTTTCTCATATATTTATTCAATACAATTAAAGTTAGTTCTGATTTGAGATAAAAATATCATAAATTTTCAAATCAACCAAAACAAAAAAAATGAAAATAATTTAATTAATTGAATTTAAAAGACTTAATAGAAATAGTTTTAAAAAGAAATTTGATTTACAACTTAATGATATTTCTAATTATTACTTTAGGAATGAATGATCATCTACTCATTCAAAAATATTGATTTACTCAAGTGGGATGTATTAATTCATTGCAGATATTGGGAAATAAAGACTTTTATTAATTGGATAATATCAATTCCTTCTTAGAATAAAGTTGTAATAACTGCCAATCATGATGTAATATTTCTCAATAATTAAGATAATAATCATTAAGAATATTAGAAAGAACTCAAGGATAATTGTTAGTGAAGGATAAAAAATAAGGGGAAACCCATATTAACCTACAATAAGGTGCAATCCATGGGCTTTTGAAGTAAAGCCGAAAGAAGGAGAAACTTCCCGAAGTAAATCGAAGAAGGATCTGATATAGTTCCAACACATGAAGCAATAATAACAGGGATAATTAAGATGGAAGATTTAAAGCAATTATATGTAGAGTAAAATATAGTTCTTTAAGGATTACATCTTTTATCTCTGAACGTTTGCTTCTAGATCTTTATACAAGATCCTGATGAAAATTTAAATTCCTTTAGATCAGGAATAAGTTGCCTAAACTTAGTAACTGAATAGTTTGATAAGAACTATGGAGTAGAATAATAAAATGTAAGTAATTCTTTAGAAATCAAGTTTATTAATTGAAAAAAAGTCGCTCTTATTTGGTTTATTGATATTTTAAAAATAAAAATAAATATAATTGACACCTAAGGAATAATTTACTTGCTCAAAAGCATATTACTGATAGCAAAGTACTTAAATTAGAATTAGCTAAACGAAAGCATTATATAATTATCAATTTGATTAAGAAAAATCAACAAAAAAAAATACAAAAAATTTCAATATTATTTTTTATTAAATAATAATCATTTAAATACTGTGTTACAAATGGGACATTTTTTAATTTAGTTCAGCTATTCTGTGATACATTTCTTATGAAAAATATGGTTGAAATGGCATTTTAATTATATTATAGGGTTTTTCTCCTAGTTTGAGATTAATTATTCCAAGCAAATAACGCAGTCTACTTTTTCCTTAAGTTCCACTTAGTAAATAAAATTATTATTTATATTTGAAATTTGTTATAACTTTGGCTTATTTCTAATATTGTTCACTATTGGAATAACATCTTAAATTAATTAAGTTTATGCCTATGGCAAGTGCACTTATCGTGGTTCAATATTTAGTATTTCTTAATCTTACATTACCTATGCTTAATTTTAAGGTGTAAAATAAACTTATACTTAATTAAGAATGATCAAGTATTTTACAAGTATTAGACAAACCATTATTAGTTAAGCTATAGCGCAATCAAAAAAAATAAAGTTATCATAATTAATTACATTATAATAAATGCCCTCTTACTTTTCAAATTAAGTTAATCCAATTATTGTAAGAATAAAGCTAATCAATATCAAGTTTTTAAAATTAATTAAATTGCTAAAAAATTTGATTTCGACATTCAAGTTAATTCATCATAATAGGAGTTTGGGTAATCTAAGTTTTGCAATTTTTAACATTAATAATGAATCTATAAGTTTTTGATGATTAATGAATAAATTAATGCTATTTTTCTCAATATCAACTTTAATTATGATTAAATAAATTTTACCTCTGGATATTAGTCCCAATAAAGTCAGAATGATTAAGATCATACTCAGATGGTAAATTGTATTTGACACTAACAATATATAAGAAGTATCATTTGGTGTTAAAATGAGAATAAGCAATAAAGCAAGAAATTTAAAAGAATCATTAATCAAAAGGAATATACAATATACTTTACTTCTTAAGATTACTGCTGGGATTTCTATAAATAAGAATTTTACTTACTTATATCAATGGTGTTGGGCTAATAAGAAGGAAATTTAAATCCATAGATAATCGATGTCAATAATGTAAAATAAAAATATATTCCTTCATATGAAATAATAGTTGCAATAATAAATATACACATAATTCCTACTGAGATCAACATAGGCCCTTATAGTTTTGCCCAAAGATCAACAAAATTTAGTACCAATATTAACATTGCAATAATAAAATACATATAAGTTAACTTGATGACAGTAAATTGAGACTAACCTGAGTACAAAATGAAAAAAGTAGTTGTATCTTCGTATATAAAATTATCTCCTTAACTCTCTTTGGGTATTTTGAGGTATCTAGTATATCCTTCTGAGTACTAAANTTTCTTATGAAAAATATGGTTGAAATGGCATTTTAATTATATTATAGGGTTTTTCTCCTAGTTTGAGATTAATTATTCCAAGCAAATAACGCAGTCTACTTTTTCCTTAAGTTCCACTTAGTAAATAAAATTATTATTTATATTTGAAATTTGTTATAACTTTGGCTTATTTCTAATATTGTTCACTATTGGAATAACATCTTAAATTAATTAAGTTTATGCCTATGGCAAGTGCACTTATCGTGGTTCAATATTTAGTATTTCTTAATCTTACATTACCTATGCTTAATTTTAAGGTGTAAAATAAACTTATACTTAATTAAGAATGATCAAGTATTTTACAAGTATTAGACAAACCATTATTAGTTAAGCTATAGCGCAATCAAAAAAAATAAAGTTATCATAATTAATTACATTATAATAAATGCCCTCTTACTTTTCAAATTAAGTTAATCCAATTATTGTAAGAATAAAGCTAATCAATATCAAGTTTTTAAAATTAATTAAATTGCTAAAAAATTTGATTTCGACATTCAAGTTAATTCATCATAATAGGAGTTTGGGTAATCTAAGTTTTGCAATTTTTAACATTAATAATGAATCTATAAGTTTTTGATGATTAATGAATAAATTAATGCTATTTTTCTCAATATCAACTTTAATTATGATTAAATAAATTTTACCTCTGGATATTAGTCCCAATAAAGTCAGAATGATTAAGATCATACTCAGATGGTAAATTGTATTTGACACTAACAATATATAAGAAGTATCATTTGGTGTTAAAATGAGAATAAGCAATAAAGCAAGAAATTTAAAAGAATCATTAATCAAAAGGAATATACAATATACTTTACTTCTTAAGATTACTGCTGGGATTTCTATAAATAAGAATTTTACTTACTTATATCAATGGTGTTGGGCTATAATAAAAAATCAAGTAATTCAACTTTAATAAGAAGGAAATTTAAATCCATAGATAATCGATGTCAATAATGTAAAATAAAAATATATTCCTTCATATGAAATAATAGTTGCAATAATAAATATACACATAATTCCTACTGAGATCAACATAGGCCCTTATAGTTTTGCCCAAAGATCAACAAAATTTAGTACCAATATTAACATTGCAATAATAAAATACATATAAGTTAACTTGATGACAGTAAATTGAGACTAACCTGAGTACAAAATGAAAAAAGTAGTTGTATCTTCGTATATAAAATTATCTCCTTAACTCTCTTTGGGTATTTTGAGGTATCTAGTATATCCTTCTGAGTACTAAAACATTAGGTACAAAACACATCCAAAAATAACAATTAGCATTTGAATAACCAAAGCAAATTGCTATAAATTAAATGCAACCTGCACATAAGTTAATCATATTATGAATGCTCTTTTTACACTTAATCAAAGAATAAATTAATTATAGAGAATAATCTAAATCATTATCTTTAAGCTGTAATTATTTCAATTAATCATTCCTTAAGATGGATTATTCATATTATTACTTTCAGTTTTTATATTTAATTAATTTATTGTGATATTATTTTCAAGAAAATAGTACTCAATTGTTTAATTTATGTTTCTTGAACTATCTTGGGCTAAATCAAAAAGATTAACTTTTATTAGAACCCAAACTTGTGACATTATTTATTGGGGTGACTTCTTGGAATTAAAGAAAAATTAGAATGCATATATTTTTTTTCAATAATCTCAAGAGCTTAATTTCATGATCTATCATCAACTAATAATAGGATAAAAGAATTATTTACACTGTCTCATAATCAAACTTCAGATAATTTTCAAAAAGGTGATGACATTTATTTTAGTTATTATTTGGAGGACCATTTGTTTGGGTTAATGCTTAGTTCAAGTTTAAAACAAGCTGGATATATAATATATATATGATAAATATTTTCTTTGAAGTAATTCTAGGGGATACTCAAAAAATAAGAAGTTGTTTTACTTATAATATTAACAATGAAGTAGTAGAAATATCATTACAAAATGAATTTTAATAATCTGATGAAAAAATATAAGATAAAAACTGGCCTAACAATTATATTTACAATATATATGGAATTGAATAAAATTTCTTCCAATAAGTATCTTCAGGTAAATAATTGATCATAGAGTTTAATTGTAAAAATACAGAAAGACTTGCTTTCTGTGGAATTTAGTTGGATAATATTTTCAATTTGGATATAAATTTGAATAATTTTATTTTTAAACAGATAGAAATCCTTGCATTGTTAATATTGAGGAATGTGATGATAATGTAATTCCATTTGATGGATATTTTTCAAATAAATACGATTGTATATAAGGTTGTTAAAATTGCATTTTAGGAATTTGTTAAGATTGTTAAATTGGATGGGGTGATCAAAAATCAACAAAAACTTGTGGACCAATATGTGGAGATGCTATCATCACTTATAATGAAGAATGTGATGATGGTAATTTACTTCCTTATGATGGATGTCATTTGTGTAAATATTCTTGTCCTCCAAACTGTAAGAGATCTGAATTTGGAAAATGCTTAATGTGCGAAAATTAACAAATAATTATTGATGAGTAGTTAATAATTATTTAAATTCCATCTCCCAAATTGAATGATAGTTTGATTGTATAAATTTATCCCATCTATAAAATCTAAATAGACTTTTTAAAACAAATTACTTATGTTGGCAATATCTTCTTGAATCATACTTGTAAATGACTATTGTATCACAACAACTATTTTTTGATATTCATGAAAGCACATTTGAGAAAATGAGAAATCATAATATTATAAAACTATAAAAATAGAATGGAAAAGTGTATGATGAGTTAATAATAGTTGGTGACTTCATATTTAGTCATCCAAATAAAATTATATGTTTAATATCCATTATTTTATAAATATATGTATATGTACTATATTTTATTATTAAATAAATATTTATTAAGTGGATTAATAGAAATTGTTTACATGTTAAGATATTTCACACTAAAGTGATGATATTTAAGGATTTTGCTTAAATTTTGAATGCAAAGATTCTAAATCTTAGTTTTGCTTGCAATGTGCAATGGATCCGGTGAAACATACTAATTGTAAGTAGGACCTAAAAGGATTTGGTTAAATTTAGAGTTTAATGGCTAAATGCAAAGAAAATTTAGTTAATTTAACAAATTAATTGAATAATTCCTTTGTAAAGTCAATGCTAAATATGAAGAATGGTCAAAATATATGGAAAACATGAATAAATAATTAGTTAAGCTATCTGAATGTTTAACTTAATAAGATTATCAGTATATAAAATAAAACATATAATTGGTTAAGGAGTGGTATAAATATTTCAATAATCAAGAAGAAAACATTAAGTAAAATTAAATTGGTAATTCTATATAATTTAATATTTATAGTAACTTAATTATAAATATTTATCGTGACTTTTAAATAATAAGCAAGGTCAAAAGGTTGATAAAAAATATGAATTTAGAGGAATAGTCATAATTATAATCATCCAGAAATTTATAGCAAAATATAGAAATTGAACTTTAGTAAGGTATTCTCTTTGGTTAATAATCAATGAGGAATAGAATTAAAAAAAATAAAAGAAAATTTTAAATAAATTAAATATGTAGAAATAGTAATAGGCCTATGATAAATTCTTTGAATGCTAAAAGTATTCGAGAAAAAAGCATCTTTTGCTACATTATGTACATTAACGTATATCATAATTATATTTTAGATATTTCGTTAACTGAATTAAATCAACCAGGCTAAGGATTAGCTTTAATTTCATAAGCAAAAAAGAAAAATAGTAACTTATTTAGAGATTTATTGGATTATTCAAATTTAGAACTAAGGAAGAATCCAAATAATATTTTTATGTTAATTTCAAAAGTATTCTAATATAAATTCTTTTAAGGTTATGCGTTAAACTAAGAGTAGATATATTAGGAAGTTATGGAACAATGTGAAAAAGTATTAAGGGAAGAACCTTAAATTCTACATGGTTACTATGGGAAAAGTAAAAAATATTGTTAAAATAGGTATTTCTTTAGCAAACTCCAATAAGAATATAGAAGCTATTTAGTGTATTGAGGAAGCTTTCAAATGTAAATGCAGTTATTGTGTTGGTTATATTAAAAAAAGTATTTGTTATTTTATAAAGGTTAGGCTAATGTTTAAACAAGGTGATGTAATATAAAGAGGCAATTATTTGTTTGGACAAAGCACTTGAAATAGATCCAAATAATGCAGCTACCTAAATTAATAAAGGTTTTAAATTAAATAGATTGTTATAGGAATACCTTTAAATTTAAGAATAATTGATGTTAATATAAATGGACTTAAATAATACAGTGATGAAATAGCTTGTTTAGATAGAGCAATCCAATTAAATCCTAGTTATGCTATTACGTACAATAATAAGGGTAAATATTTTTTTTATTGTAAAAGGTGTTTCATTAGAAAATCTTAATAAAGATCATGAAGCTTTAGCAAATTACAGTAATTCTTTAATGATAAACTAAACTTATGCTTAAGCCTATAAAAATAAGGGTAATTTAAATTTATATTTAAGGTAATTTATTAAATTCCTTACTACTGAGCTGATTACAACAAAGATGAAAAATTATAATTAAGCTATTGAACTTTATGAACATGCACTTAAACTCTGTAAAAGTGAACAAAATGAATTTGAAATATTATACTTAGAAGCCAAAAATAATAAATGAATGTATAAATATATCAATAAATATATTTATTCCTTTTTTTTTACTTTTTCAATAAATTTTCTTTTTTCAAAACATTATATAAGTTTGATAATGACTAAATAATTTTGTAAATGAAGTTATTATTTTAATGAAAGTATTCAATTTCATAATGGTGGAAAATGTAAATATGAGATCTATTCAGTTGAAAATTCAAATTTCCATTCTAATCTATTATTATGAAGAAAACTAAAAAGATTAGAGCTGATTTAAGTTGCTATCAAGTTATGGAACCATAATCAAAATTTAAAATGAATTAGTTTCCTTTTTATAATTTAAATTTATTTAATAAAAAACGATTATGAGTATTGTTACTGCTCCTGAAAATTTCATTAGATCAACAATTCCTAATAGCCATACTTGAGTTATTGGAGAATTAAATAGAACGTATAATATATATGGTGGTGGTAATTGTTGGAATCATGATTAAGAAGATAAAAATGGTAAATAAATAGCATTTTCATTTTCAACAAATTATATAATAATAGTTGAAGTGGATATGCAAAAGAAACATGTGAAATAGATAAAATAATCCACAAATGAATAATTCGTATGCATTTCTATTAATTATTAGACTCTCACTATTGATACATTCAAAGATTTATACTCATGTGTGCATTTAACTGGTAGATGTAAAGTAGGGGTATTAAATTAAAATTTTAAATGATAATATATATATTTGGTTTAGGTTAATATCAACCTTTAGAGTGTAAATTAGAAGAATTACTATTTCATATCACCTTTAGAACAATGTAATAAACTATATTTACACATCTATAGATTTTGATTTATTTCTTTAAATATATGCATTAATTATTGATTGCAGATTCCATATAATATCTTTTTCATTTTCTATTGTTTTAATCAGTTTTATTTTTTTATTAAAATTAAAAATTGCATATTAATATATATAATAAACAGAATTTTAACTTAATAAAATAATTATTAATTATTTAATTGTGAAATAAAATCTGCATAACTGAATAATTGAGAGCAAAATAAAAATAATTTGTTTGAATTTCAAAAGGATAATGAAATAAATTTTGTTTGGTTTTTCACTATCAGTTTGTGATACCTTTAAATTGCATTAGAATACACTTCAATATCAATAAATCTAAGATCATAATTAATTGAATAATATTATTTTTAATGTTTTAATGATTCATTAAATTATTGGTAATCAATTTCTTCATTTGGCTTCTATTAAGAGACCCAATAATGTTAAAGATTCAGCTATTTTAGTTGATCAAAAAAATTACCTTATTTTTCTTTATAAATAGGATCATGGTTGATTTGAAACGCCTCTTCATTATCTTAAATGTCTTTATGAAGTACATACAGTTAAGGTAATACATTTCCTAAAAGGGTATAAAGAATAGAGCTACCTTTATTAAATGATACATCAGGATGATTTTCTATTGCTTTTTCTAAAGATGCAAGAGCTTCCTGAAAATGCAACAAATGATATAAAGTTAATCCTAAAATAGTAAATACAATTAAAGACCTTTATTAAATAAAGCAAAATAAGATAATGGATCTATTTCAATTGCTATATTGAAACATCTTAATGCTTCTTCAAAATTTAATAGTTTAAATAATACAACTCCTTTATTTTAAACTTGAAAATACCTTTATTACAATAACATTTGACTTCTCTAGAATCAAGTTCAATAGCCTAGTCATATGATTATATTGCTTCCTCATTTAATAAAAGTTTTGATAATGCATTGCCTTTAATTTTATTAAATTATCTTACCTTTGTTAAAATAAATATCTGCATCTCCTTTATTCCTTTCTAAAGCCATATCATATAAATTTATTGCTTCTTAAAATTTCATTTAATCATATAGGATATTCCCTATATGATTGTTTGAATTGCTTACCTTTATTATAATAACTTGTAGCCTCTTCAGGTAAAAGCTCTATTATCTAATCATAACATATAATCGCATCTTGATACAAGTTTAATTTTCTTAGTGCCAAACCTAAGAATATTCATTTGTACAAACTTTTTTAAATAAGAATCAATTATAAAAGGGAAGTAGATTTATTAATTGGTTCATATTTAAAAGCTTCATCATAACATCTAATCGCCTCATAATAATTTTCCAATTATAGGAATGTTTCACCTAAAAATACTAAAAATCATAAATTACCTAAGTAATAATATAATTTATAATTTTTAGGTTTTAAACTTATTGCTCGTTAATAATAAGAACTTGCTTCGTGATATAGTTTTTATTAAAATAATGCTTATCCTAAGATAAGATAAAATTTTAAATTTTACCCATCCTAAAGTATGAATCCCAATCCCTTGGATCTAACTTTATAGAATATTTGTAGAATATAATTGCCTAACTGTATTGTTTTAATTTATATAGAGACAATCCTATTTTTGAATTATAAAAAATATAACCTTTATAAAAGTATGCGTCTATTTCTTTAGAATTTAATAATAAGATTTAATCATATTATTTTATTGCTTCCTCAAAAAGTTTCAATTTTCTTAAGACACATCCTTTTTTTTAAATTCAAATTAAATAAATTACCTTTACAATAATATAAATCGATATCATTCTAAGCAATTTAAATGGCCTTATCATAATAAACTATAGCTTCATTGTATTATTTTAGTTTTTTTAATATAGTTCCTTTGAAATGATAAATCATATACCTATTTAAAAAAAACTATCTACATCATTAGGGTTAATTTAAATAACCCATTAAAAACAAATTATAGCATCTTCAAATTGTCTTAATTTTCTTAACGCCACACCTATTTTTAAGTTAATTTACTTAATACCTTTGTTGTAATAAACATCAGCATCTTAAGTTTATTTATTGATTGCTTTATCATAGAATTAGATTGCTTCTTCGTAAGCTTCTAAATGCTTTAGATCATTTCCTAAAATTATTATTATAGTTTTTAAACCAGTGCTTATAACAAATTGGATTTCGTCTGATTATTTTTGTGATTCTTTATTTTAAAGTTCATTTTTTTTTTAATTATAATCTACCGCCAACTTTTTTATAGCTTAAATCTTCTCTTTAAATAACAATATTTTATTTCCTTATTAATTTATTATATACTATAATTATTTAATTGAAGTTGCTTTCTTAAGTACTATTTATTTATATCTTTATTATTCTGTAAGACGTAGTAGTTGTTTTCTTCTAATTAAATTTTCAAATCACTCAACCTTGATGTCTGTGATGTTATTTCTGATTTATAAATAAAATATGATTAAACAACTTGCTTAAATCTATTATTAAGCAATAATTCTTTTGTTGTGGGCTTCATTTATTTAAAAATTTCCCATTTAATTTATTAAAGTTCTTTTTCAATCTATTAGCTAATCATTTGGGTTTCTTAGGATATTTGCAAAAATTGAAATATCAATTCTTTCAATTTTTAAAATCTAAAGCATTCATTTTGATGACCTTAGTGTTTTTCAGCAAAGCAATTAAAACAAAATTTGTCGTATTTGCAAGTTTCATTTAGACAAAATCCAAGAATAGGCTCCGCTTCATGATTTTCAAATTGACATTTGTAATCTTTTAAAAAGTCCATAAAAAATTATAAATAACAATAATAATAATAATAAAGGATGTAAAAATAAAACTTTAAAAGCTTCTCAAAATAAACCTAAGCCTTAATACAAATTCACTTAAATTGTATATAAAACAATTTATTGATCAATTTAAGAGATTTTTTCAAGTTGCGAAACAAATTTGTTTCATTATAACAACTAAATAATTAGCTGGAAGCCTGAATAATGAATAATGTTATGATAAGTAAGAACTATAATGAAATAAAATTTTCTACAAAATTTAATGCATGAAGATAATTAAGTAAACATTTCAATTTTGTGACTAATGCTAATAAAATTTATTCAGAATTTTTATGATATTATGATGATCCTTATTAATCTTTAGGAGCTATTTAAGTATTTCTTCAAAGCATTTTACTATTGAGATAATGGCAAAATGAATATATCTAAAAATTTTGGATTATGATGATAAATTTTGGAAAAAAAAAATATAAAGAATAAAAAATAGAATTAAATTTTGTACAAGAATTGTTAAAAACCTCTTTTATAAAATTATTTTGAGTTATCTAAAACTAGTATTTATATTGAGAAAAAAAGGATTAAAAAATTTATTAAATAAAACTTAGATTTTTGCATTTCTAGATTAATTTAATAATAATAGAATTACGATAATTATTTAATTACTGATTCAACTCTATTTATTAAAAAATTTAGAAATAAATACATAATAATTAGAATGATTTAAAAATTTAAATTGATTTTATCAATTATAAAGATAAATTAATATTGACATGATAGTTTTCAATTTTAATCTTCAGTAATTTCCTATCATTTTATATAATGATGTATATGATTTGTTATCATTGATTGATTTATTGATTGCATCCAAAATTCTAAAATATATTTATTCAATTCAAAACTCAATTATATTAAGATTATAGATTCTTTTACTATATGATTCACGATAATTTATATTTAAGTCAATCTCTTTAAACCAAAACAATATATAACCTCAATTAAAGTTCAAATATAATCAATGAAGAAAATGAATTAGCAGACCACGCCTCTAACTGATATTGATGTTTGAAATCATTTTTTATAATCTTATTTGATTTTCCCACTCCTCTATATTTGTATTTTCATATCGAAAATTATTAATTTATGAATGTATATGATTTTAATTTCAAAAAGGTATACCTTTTTAAGAATGTCCATAGATATTTATTTATATACTTACACCACATAGAAAATATTCAATTAATATTCTCAATTAAATTGTGAAATTATGAATGTAGCAATTAATTAAAAAGAAAATGATTTAATAAAAAGTAAAATAAATTGTGTTGAAAGTAAGAAATTACCTCCTATATAATTTAAATTATGTGCTATTTATGAAGGAGAGTGGAAAAATGGAATGAGAGATGGACATGGTAAAAGTAAATGGCGAGATGGTGATATATAGGATGGAGAATGGAAAAATGATAAAGTAAATGGTAAAAATTTATTTTAGTATAAATGGATACAAATTTGAAGGAGAAGTAAATATTATATTCTATTTCTAGTGGAAAAATGATAAATAATATGGTAAAGGAGTAGAAAATTGGCCAGATAGAGCAAAATATGAAGGTCAATATTTTTAAGGTAAGAAACAAGGTTAAGGTATATTAAGTTTTGGTGATGGTTTAAGATATGAGGGTGAATACTTATTATTCTATTTTTAGGGGAATTCTTCTAAGATGATCTGGAGAAGGAACATTTTTTTGGCCAGATAAAAGTATAAAGGATAATAGAAAAAACATCAAATACATGGCAAAGGATACCATATATGGTAAAAAGTTTATAGGAACCTTTATATAAGGTTGTATTATTATCTTATTTCTTAGAAAGATAACATGGAATTGGAATCTGTTATTCATAAAATAAAAAAGTTAAAGTTGGTGAATGGAATGATACAATAAGAATTAAATGGTTTGAACAAAATAAAGTTGATTAGTTAATTGAAGAATAAAAAAATTAAAAGAGAAGATTTTTTTTAATTACATTGATGTATCTCAATAATACTTAACCTTAAATCTTATCATTTTATGTCTTAGATTTATAATTTACAAATATATGATTGCTCATCTATTAAGTTTGATTTTTTATTATCACTATTTAAAAGAAATCTATAATATTATGAATGAATTTCATATCTATTTTAGAAAATTCTTACAGGAATATATGTTATGCACCTATAATTACTAAATTATGACTCAATTAATTTTACACTAGAAGTTTAGCAAAATTAATAGAAATATAACTTTTAACATTAAATCATTTAATGGAGGATTAACTACTATTGACTAAACATTTACTTAGTTAAATATAAATGGAACATTTATTTTTACTTGTTCATACTATTACTAATGATATTTGCTTTCAATAGTCTTCAAAGTCTTAATTAAAAGCAGCATGCTCATTATATTTTATTGTTTTTACATCTCATTTCCCTTATCTAACTCCAAGATGATACTATCCAAAATCTTAAAGTTGAGAATTTCTAATTGATTATACTAACCATAATTTTCAAGCAAATAAATCTATTTCTTAATTAGCATATCCCATCAACTCAATTTTATCCCTTGGCTATATACTCCTAACAACATTATATTGCAAGAACTCATTGCAATATAAATCCATATTCCATTCTTAAGGCCCTCATTGTACTCTCTACTTCCTCTTGCTAATTCAAAAAAAAATTTACTAAATCTTAGAATTTCTATTTTCCTTATTTCAAATCATTTCCATATTTTCCCCAAAAAGTGATATTTAGCAATAGGTTTATATTTAAATTCATTTTTAAGATTAATTAGAAATTAATGATATATTCCATGCCACTAATTTAAATTACACAAGCTAACTGTATTCCATATAAAAATTTTCATGAACATTTTAAGCGAAACTATTGGAATGTTGATAAAACTTATAAAATACTTCGTTTAGTATTTAATTATAGTCAAACATTGAGCTGATAAATAAGTTCAAATTAGTTCAACTTTTCTCTGTTAACGAGAAAACATGTCTGGAGTTGATAGTAAAAGCCTTTTCCAACCAAGTAATTGCCTACTCATATTTACTTAACATTTTTATATCCAATTTCAATTAATAATAACTTCATAAACATGAATCTAATAATTAAATTCAAATTAAATCTACCTATCTTGGATAAAGATATCTAGGATTGACCTTTCTAACAGAGCGATTGCATCCTCCTATTTATAAAAAATATTTTTCAAATTTAATTTATAATAACTTCATGCACCTAATATTAAAATTAAACTATATTTCCCATTGAAGAATTAGCATGTCTAGGTTCGATTGCTAAGGCTTTGTCCAACCAATTAATGACATCCTCATATTTATTTAACAATTCATGATGATAGGTTATTTGATCAAG